ATTTTTGTTGTGCGTTTCTGTAAGGATTAATACTTGAAATTATTTAAAAATAAGAAGAAGCATTTTGTAATTCAAATAGCTACCAATCAACCGATTTGAACAAAAATTACAGCTGTGGGGAGAGTTTAAAGAAAGTAAAAAAAACATTAAGTTCGGCCGGGCCGAACTTTAAATACCCTCCATCTTAGGGTAAAGGAAACATTAGAACTCATTATGACCCACAAATACCAATTTTTAGACATATTCGTGGGAAAATGTGGCAGAAATCATCAAAATATCGAATATCGCGAGGTACCACTATATGGGGCTATACAAAAACGTAAACCTAGACATACAATGTTTCGCCAACGGAGCTAGAACCCATTAGGACATACAAATACCAATTTTTAGACAAATCCGCGAAGAAATGTGGCAAAAATCATTAAAATACCGAATAGCTGGAGGTACCATTGTATGGGGGCTATACCAAATCGTACATGCAATGCTTCACCACCGGAGCTAAAACCCATTATGACTAACAAATACCAATTTTTAGACAAATCCGTGCAAAAATGTGGCAAAAATCATCAAAAACCATAAATCTGAAGTTGTTTTTTCATCTCACCCTGTATATCATCTTCACAACAGATCTTGTATTAGCATGTTTGTATATGAGAAGTTTGAAGAGAGTTGGATGCTTTTTTCGCTTTCTTTGAGTGTTTTTTTTTTCTTTTCAAAATCTTGAATCCTAATGTGGCGGATGTACCAGAAGGAATGGTCCGATCTCTACCATCTTTAAAACAGATCTTGTGTTGATGGAAATATTGAGATGTACCAAGTTTGAATGGAACCGAATCTTAATTTCGTAATTTTTCAAAATGTTGACCCTTTGTGGGGCAGGTACTTTATGTAGAGGACCGATAAATTCTATCTTGTGCTAGTAGAAAATGTGGTACGTGTGAAATATGAAGATAACTGGATGCTTATTTCGGATTTTATAATCGTTTTGGTTATTCAAAATGTTGATCATTTGTGGGGGAGGTACCAGAGGGAACGGTCCGATCTCTACCATCTTTATAACAGATCTTGTGTTTATGGAAATATTGCCAAGTCTAAATGGAATTGGATGTTAATTTTTTATAAGCTTCATGAATATTCAAAAATTTGACCCTTTGTGGGGGAGGTACCAGAAGGAGTGGACCGTTATATGCCATTTTCACAGATGATCTTATGTTAGTAGAAAAAATTTGATTTATAAAATATAAAGAGAACCGGATGCTTATATCGGATCGTTTTTGACAGTTCGTGTATTATTATGTGAGTAAAAGTATTTAAAGCTACCAAATCTGGCCTTCTTTCGTGATAAGTTCACCCGATTTTCAGATCCACATCTGGCTGGCTATATCTTTTGTGACCTGGCTAAGTTCCACGATCGCTTACTGTGGGTAGAGACCTGCCCTACAATTCTGTGGTTAACAGTTACCCCTTTTCTAGCTGCTCCTTTGAGTGGTTCTACAGCGGAAAAGAGAGCGGGAAATTCTAGGCCCTGAAGATTCTACGCTATAGCTGACAACCGAGAAACTCTTCAAGGGTTAAACCTATGATACGGAGAACCCGAGGGATACGAACTCTTCAAGGGTTTTGTCTACAATACCAAGAACCCAAGGGATACGGACTCTTCAAGGGTTAAACCTAAAATACCGAGAACCCAAGGGATACTGACTCTTCAAGGGTTAAATCTAAAATACCGAGAACCCAAGGATTACGAACTCTTCAAAGGGTAATTGCTAACCTAAAATACCAAGGACCCAAGGGATACGAACTCTTCAAGTGTGAAAATGAAATACCGAGAACCCAAGGGATACGAACCCTTCAAGGGTAATTGCTAAAATACCTGCTTCGCTGGATCTTGGTTTGTTTTAACGTTCACGCACATGTCACCTTTGCCACTTTGATAAAACAACTGATCCCCATCCGTTTCAAGTTTCAAGTTTATTTTTTGCAGTAATCGCTATACATAGTAATTCAATAACTTATTATCTAACAATAGTTCTTAAGTCTATGGCTTAAATTTACTTAGCATAAAGTCTTATTTTTCTAAGTTTATCTTATTAATTCAACGAGGGGGGGGGGGGGTCACATATTTAATGCAACCTAACTTTAATTCAAAAAAAAAAAAAAAAAACTCTTTCCGAAACCTAGGTATTCCCTGCCTTACCCCCTGGTAAACATTACCATCGTTCTCCACTCATAAACAAACGTTGTTTTTATAAAAACAACAATAATGGGATTTTGCCTGACGATTTTGCAACAACAAAATACTATGGTATCCCAAACAAGCAAGCCAAACACTGTTCTAAAAAAAAACAATAAACTTAAATGCAAAATAAATTTACATTAATCAGGGCTGTCACAGAAACCATGTCGGTTTTTGTGTTGTTGGACGAAGAACGCTCAGAAAAGGTGACGAGAAAAGCTCTTAGAGATTTCAGCAACCCACTGGAGTTGCCGGAGATAGCGTAAGTAATTTTTTTTATTGTGAACTTACTCATATAGTTGCAATGCAGATTTATGGTTTATGGTCCATTAAAATGTATTTAAAAAAATCCTTAAAAAATCCACGTTTATGGTCCTTTAAATATCCTTTAAAAAATCTTTAAAAATCCACGTTTATAGTCCTTTAAAAAATCCACGTTTATGGTCCTTTAAATATCCTTTAAAAAATCTTTAAAAATCCACGTTTATGGTCCTTTAAATATCCTTTAAAAAATCTTAAAAAAAAACACGTTTATAGTCCTTTAAAAATCCACGCTTATGGTCCTTTTATAGTCCTTTAACAATTCTTTAAAAAAATCCACGTTTATAGTCCTTTAAAAATTCTTTAAAAAAATCCACGTTTATAGTCCTTTAAAAATTATTTAAAAATCCACGTATATAGTCCTTTAAAAATTATTTAAAAATCCACGTATATAGTCCTTTAAAAATTCTTTAAAAAAATCCACGTTTATAGTCCTTTAAAAATTCTTTAAAAAATCCACGTTTGTAGTGCTTTAAAAATTCTTTAAAAAAATCCACGTTTATGGTCCTTTGAATATCCTTAAAAAATTCCTTAAAAATCCACATTTTTAGTCCTTTGAATATCCTTTAAAAATTCCTTAAAAAATCCACATTTTTAGTCCTTTGAATATCCTTTAAAAATTGTTTAAAAAATCCAAAGCAAATGAAAAGTGACAGCTCTAAGCAACTTGGTTTATTTCCAATAACAAAACCAATGACATTGTCTTCTATGACAACCAAAACCGATAAAATTCTAATTCGAAAATAAAACCAATAACATTGATTTTCATGACACCAAAGCATTTTTTCTTGTCGTTTTTAAAACCAATAGTGACAAAAATGGTTTCTATGACAGCCCTGAATAATTCCCCTAAAAAGATGTGTAAAAAAGAGGACTCTAACAGTTTTAATTTTTACTTCTTACATGCTATATTAAAACTAAACTTAATTCTATTTATACTACTTAACCTAATTTACAAACTACTATTTACAATATATACAAGACAGCGTCGTCGATGTCTAACGAGCCGAACCTGCGATGATAGAAGAGGAGTGTGTCCTCTCTATATAGGAGACCTTCTTCATCTAGTGTAACTAAACTACTCGGCGGCCTGTAATTGGCCCGAATTAACTTTTGTACGTCAGTTTCGTGCAAAAGGCTTTCCCTAACTAGACTATTGTCTAACGTATCTGCCCGATCTAGGAATTTAAGGTCACTGGACATTAGAAACTTATCTATGCGGTTGAAGTCTATGGAACTATATACTACCCTGTTGGGCGGTAAGCGCCATATTCCATCTTCACCCTGCGTAGGTCTTAAGCCTAAGCAGGACCTAAGTATCCGCCTTTCCCATATGCGAAGCCTTTCCATTTGGTGGGAAAAGATCCCAAACAAGACAGGAAAGGCGTACGAAATTAATGGTCTAATGATCTGTTTTTAGATTAATAGTCTAACTGTAAGGGTCAGCCCACCTCTTGTGCCGATAGCATTTAGCGTTGATAAGCCCAAAATATACCTTTGACTTTTCTTAGTACAAAGTCTATATGTCTATTAAATTCAAATTTACTGTGAAAAATTACACCCAAGTATTTGACTTGGTCTGAATTTCTAATAGCTTCCCCTCCATTTGCCAGCGAACTGTCTGGCGCTACGGTACAAGTATTTCTTTTTGCCTTTGAAGGTTATAGCCTCACACTTATTGACATTTAGGTGCATTTTCCAAGTTTGGAAAAATTCGGAGAGTTGCTCCAAATAGGCATTTAGTCTATTATTAGTATTCCCTGCGTGAGCTTCTGCAGCAGCGACAAATATGTTGTCTCCATAAATCAGGAGCAGCTGCCCATCAGGCGCACGCGGTATATCGTTCATAAATATGTTGAAGAGGACGGGTCCATGGAGTGAACCCTGTGGAACTCCGGCAGTTACTGCCCTTTCTAACACAGCCCTTTTGCTGCTGCTTGTTTTTTCCTAGTCAGCGACGCAATTAATTCAACTACGCAGGTTTGATTTTGCTGCTTGTTTTGGTCGTCGACGAAACGCATTGTCCTAACGGTATGTTGTTTTCATGTCGCAAAACATATAAACAACAATGAGGGCCAATCGATCAGGCGGGAAAAAATTTAACGAGGGCAGCAAATTAAATGGGGAATTCATAATATCTATTAAAAAATTCATTTCTAACAAAAATAATAACTAACATAACAAGAATAATAACAACATTGGTGGGGACGAAAACGAGGATACCGACTTTCGTCGTCACAAACTTATATTTCAATTTCATGCTTTTCGATCGTACAAGTGAGCTAATCAAATTTTTAAAAACCTCAAGGACTCAAAAAATCCCCGCAGTCATTTTTTTTCAAATAGAATCTTCCAAATGCTAGCTGGGTAGTAATATTTTTATACTTCTCTTTAAATGTCTCGATGTCGTAGTAAAGGATTCTTCTTCTTCTTCTGTCGTAAATTGCAGTTTATTATGATATTAACAATTTTACTATTTCAAATTCTCTACACGTCAAATAATTCTCTCTACATCAAATAAAATTAATTTCGACTAGAATAAATTGCAGTTTTTAAAATCCTTTGCATTTCCGGTGTTATGCACGCCACATCCGTTGGCACTTCACCAGCATAATTTGGATGCTTCAATAGTTCGGGTATTCGTTGACACACCATTTGGGCCAATTCTGTGCGATTATGCTGCACGATCAAATGTAGTAGTGTATCGCCAGAACCTAAAATCTCCATGTCTAGAAAATCCAGCTGTGATTCCAAGGCAAATTCCAACATTTTTCTAATATACGGCAGCGGAATGTTTCCCACGCCACGCACAGCCTCGTGCAGTACAGTGTAACCTCTGTGGTTATAGATGAAAAACAAACGGACAATATTTCTCTTTAGGGGATGATCTTCGTGCAGGCATTTACAGCTCTCAAAAAGCCGTAGAAATTCCTCCAGACACTTGTCATGGCCTTTAATGATGGCCACATGTAAAGCGGTTTGTCCTTCGATATCCTGTTGACACAGGGCATAACCTTGCTTGACAAACGGTCCTATCAAAAAATAGAGATTATGTTGGCAGGCATAGTGTAGTAGATTTTCACGTCGTGCATTGCGACCGACCAACATCATGTCACAGGCGAAATTCTTGAGGGCCACCTTCATTTCTTCTTCCTTCAAATTAAAAATCAAAAAATAAAATTAATATTTTTTAAGATCTAGGTTCTCTCCGGTTTCATCAAGTCGATAAAAAAATGTTTTTTTCCTTTTTTTACTTTTCCTGCAAGAATTGTCTAGAAATGTCTAACTTTAATCTACAATTTTGAGATGCAACAGCGGAAATAGATGATTTGAAACTAAATATTAAAATTGAGATGTACCAAGTCTGAATGGAAGCATTTTATGAGTTTCATGGGGATATTAAAAATGTTGAGCCTTTGTGGGGGAGGTACCAAAAGGAGGAGACCGATATATACCATCTTCACACAAGATATTGTGTCTGTAGAAATAATGGGATGTGTGAAATATAAAGAGAATCTGGTTCTTATTTGGATCCTATAAACGTTTTGGTTGTTCAAAACGCGTTGACCCTTTGTGGGGGAGGTACCAGTAGAAATGGTCCGATCTCTACCATCTTTATAATCGATCGATAGACGTAGTTATATTCTGTATTCGCTTATGCAATAGCGCATAGTTTATGCATTACTTTCTCGATTCCCACGGGCTTTATGCTTTGATTGAGGAGAAACGCGTCCAAAAAGGTTATTTCTTAGCTCTACTTTCCGAAGTCCTATATTCTAACGCCGACACTTCAAGGAATCACATCAACACAAAACTTAAGTTTTTCTTTCTAAACTTTTTTTCAAGGCAGTTTTTCAAACTTTCAAAAAAATAAAAAATAATTCGCACATTCACTGAAGGATTTGTCCTTCTTCGTTGGAGGAATAATATCCTTTGGATTTATTTAACACCAAGTAATTTTTCCTCAACCCTCTCCGTTGTCTCTCTTTTTCTTCAAAAACAAAAACTTGCCATTTTATCGCTATATGCCATGTTTGCTTTGCTTGGAAATGTCCGATTTGCTGAATTACTAAACGCTTATTGTACTCTCGGTGCAATTTTATATCGCTTTTGTTATAAACTTTTGAGGGTAATTTCCCTTTGTTATATGCAAAAATTATGATTCAGATGTATTGTGTTGTGCGAAAATCAAGAAACATTCGGTGAAGCCGTTCATTTATTCCCTCCACCATAGTATGGAGGGTATAGTAAGTTTGTCATTCCGTTTTGTAACACCTACACACAACATACATTTTAGACCCCCCCCCCACCATGTATATATATTCTAATTAACATAAAATTCTATGTCGATTTAGCGATGTCCGTCCGTCTATCCGTCTGTGGAAATCACACTATCTTCCAAACGAAATAAAATAGGTTGATAAAATTTTACTCAAGTGTATATTATGTCTGCAGGACTTATGGCATTGAAAATGGGTCATGTAGGTCCACGTTTTGGCATAGCCGCCATATAAGAGTATCTCCCTATTTTCGGTATTTTGGTGATTTAAGCGACATTGTTCAACGGAATTGTTTCAAATTTGATATTTTAAGTTGGTATTTTATTTATTTATTTATTTATTTATTTATTGAGACTTCATTCATTTCATTAAAGACAAGGTATTAACAATAAATATCAGGGACACTTAAAACTATCATGTATTATTCTAATATCATTATATAAAATGGGTATGCTACATGCTTAAACATTCTTTAGATATGTAATTGTATTTAACAAATAATCAATAAATAAGATAAATAGTGTTTGCTCCCGATACTTGCTGTAGCGAATAGAGTTTTATCTATATTTTGATGTGTACTTATAACTAGGACTTACAACTACAGAAAAAAAAAGTTGGTAATGAATACTACAACCTAGGACAGAAAATTGTCCGTGCAGGTCCATGTCTTCGTATAGCCTCCATATAATGGCATCTCCCGATATCCGGTAGCGACATTATTCACCGGAATTGTTTGAAATTTGGCATTAAAAGTTCGTAACTGATATTACAGTCTATGACAGAAAATTGTCCGTACAGGTCTATGCCTTCGTATAGCCCCCATATAATGGCACCTCCCATTTTCGGTTTCCACGAAAAAAATGTTTGTTACTTTTACAATTCTGGTTCACGAGTGCTGCGAGCAAGTGATAGCTCAAGTGGTAGAGCGGTTGTGTTTTCGGGTCCTGCGTCGCGGGTTCGAGCCCCGATCAAGGTGTGCCTGTTCATTTTTTTTAAATAGGCCGGGCCGAACTTTGAATAACCTCCACCACATTTTCAAAAAAAATAAATTCAATCCATTCCGGAATGTGCCGATATATGGGGAATATACGATATTGTGGATCTATATGGAAAAATCTATATCTGGGGGTAAAGTACTCACAAAAAAATCGTTGTGTAGAATTTCAGACAATTCCTTTGAAAAATGTGGCTAAAATCATCAAAATACGAGGAGTACCGTTACCGATACCGTGGATCTATAGCGATAATTATCTTCCATGGGATAAAGTGCTCACAAGGAACTCCTTGTGTGGATTTTCAGACAATTCCATTGAAAATTGTGGCTAAAATTATCAAAATACCGAATATCGGGGGGTACCGTTATATGGGGGCTATACGAAGACGTGGACCTGCATAGACAATTTTCTGTCTTAGGGTGTAGTATCCATTTTGAACTTTAAATATTGCGCACATCTTTGAAAACAATAGGCTAAGCCCTTTTGAGCCTAACCCTAACTTTGTGAAAAATTTCGTGAGGATCGAACGATGATTGCAATCTGTATATAAATAATAACCCTAACTTGTGTTGTAAAGTGAAAAAATATTACAAAACAAATACTTCAATATTATAAGTCAATTTGAAAAAATCGCATGCGATAAAAAATATGAAAAAAATAAAAAAATGTCACAAAATACTACAAAATCTATATGAACATCATTATTGGTATCTTCTTATGCGATTTTTTTAGATTTTATACTTTTATGCCAAAATGACATTCTAAATTGACAAAATTTGTCAAAATTGCTCCAGCCATTCTAAAGATATAAGCATTCTAGCTGACATCCCCTTTCTTTGCATGTATACATTGTATATATGTCTCTATATATATCCGATATTTTTACTATCGGCATCTACGTAACGGTCAGAATTGACCTGTTCGTCTATTTGTGATTTCGCCGGCAATAAAAATATTCGCGGATTAATGGAAAAATTGACTTTTATTTATCGCTATGGTCTACTAAACGACTAAATATTACCCGATGACCATCAAAATTGGAAGGCTTCTGCCCAGTCCAAAGCTCTAGCTTCATGCTAAATTTCGCTTCGATTGGTCTGTAATTGTGACCTGTATTGCAAAATCATTAAATTTTTCCATTTCAACCCCTAGATATTATGCGATCATCTCCATATAGGGTTCTATTGTGACATTAACCCCAGCTACATTCTAAATTTCGTAAAGATCGGGGTAATTACGACCTGTATAATTACGACCAGTTTTTGGTCCATTTCAACCCCTAGATATTATGCGATCATCTCCATATCATCTCCATATAGGCTTCTATTCTGACCTTAACCCCAGCTACATTCTAAATTTCGTGAAGATCGGGATAATTACGACCTGTATAATATATATATATATATATATATATATATATATATATATATATATATATATATATATATATATATATATATATATATATATATATATATATATATATATATATATATATATATATATATATATATATATATATATATATATATATATATATATATATATATATATATATATATATATATATTATACAGGTCGTAATTATCAACTTTTTACAGTTTGGGCGGATATGGTCGATTTTGTGCGGTTTTTAGAAACCATTTGGGCTGAAATAAAAATTTCAAACGGCAACACTGCATCTGATCGAATGACTAAGTTTGATTGTATTTCCACTGTGTGTGATCAAGCCTACTCAATCACACTCATTGCAGCCCTCTGCTACGTAACCGGTTTTGTGTTGATTTTTATACCCTCCACCATACTATGGAGGGTCATTCCGTTTGTAACTCCTCCAAATACTCATGTCAGACCCAACAAAGTATATATATTCTTGATCAGCGTAAAATTCTAAGTCGATGTTTATTTTTCCAGTAGGCAGGTTAAGTTCGTAAATGGGCCATGCAGGTCCACGTTTTCATATAGCCCCCATATAACGGTACCTCCCTATATTCGACATTATTCACCGGAATTGTTTCAAAATTGGTATTTGAAGTTCGTAATGAATACTACAGTCTAAAATAGGAAATTGTCTGTGTAAGTCCATGTCTTCGTATAGCCCCCATATAACGGTACCTCCCGATATTCGGTATTTTAATGATTTTAACAACATTATTCACCGGAATTGTTTCAAAATTGGTATTTGAAGTTCGTAATGAATACTACAGTCTGTGACAGAAAATTGTCTGTGCGGGTTCAGGTCTTCGTATAGGCCCCATATATCAGTACCTCCCCATATTCGGTATTTTGACGATTTTAGGTACAATACCCACCGAAATTGTTTGAAATGTGGTATTTGAAGTTCGTAAAGGATGCTACAGCCTGGACAGAAAATTGTCTATGCTGGTCCAGGTCTTTGCACAGCTCCAATTTAACGGCACCTCCTTATGTACGATAATTTGATGATTTTAGCTACATTATTCACCGTTTATTTCAAGTTTCCAATTTGAATATGGTAATGCCTTATGACAAACAATGCCTATGTATGTCCACGTCGTATAGACCCCAATATAACGGCTATATTCGGTATTTTTAAAATATTAACAGAATTTTTTAAGGATTTTATTTTTTAAAAATTTCCAAATTCGTTGCAAATAGTGGAGGGTATTAAAAGTTCGGCCCGGCCGAACTTAGTGCTCTTTAACTTGTTAAAGTTGACAACAGCAAAAAATTACAAAAAAAAAAAAACAGCAGTATTAACAACAAAAAAAACCACCCCGTTCACATCGAAGCTGTGGCCGAGTCGGGTAAGCATTTCTGCTGACATTCACTGTGTCGTGGGTTCACATCCCGGTTTATTTTTTCATATATTAACAAAAAGTTATAAAAGATAATTAAAAAAGCGCTAAAGAATAAATTCTTGACAAAACATGCATATGTATGTCTCCTTGCACTTCATATGAATTTCTGTAAGGGAAACACTTTAAACCCCTTGGGAATATCATAACCCAATTGCATAATGACAAGTTTTTTATATATTCTTGTTTCATTTGGAAAATTAAACTAACAAAATATGGTGCCATTATTTGGGAAATATGTTGAAAATTTTCCCAATACAAAAAAAGTCCCAACATTTACGGATCTTTGTATAAAAGTTCACAACTTTCAGAAATAATGTGTTGCAAAAGCTCTGAAAGCTTTTATTAGCAAAAGCTATGAGCAAAGCAAATATAAGAGTATATATATATATATAACAGTATATATACAGCATGTAAGCTATCGCCTGTTCCCATACGTCTGTAGGCTAGTGGAATGAGCGAGCGCCCCCATTTCGTTTGATTTCAAAACGACCTAGGTTCGATTCCTATTTGATGACAACTTTTACTTTAGCCCCTTTACTTTAACCTAATTGTGAATTTTAAGATAATTTTCTTTTGTACAAAAATATATTAATTTTACAATTTTTTTAATTACACGTTCAATCCTTTCCTATACATATTTACGAAGTGTCAGCATTTTGATGGTACCTTCCATATGGACCTAAACCTCCTAGATTTTGCACAACGGCATGTGCTGGTAACGTTCATAAAAAAATAATTCAGTTAGGCATATTCCGAAAATAGAAGGAATCACCTTTCTAACGATACCTTTTATATACGCGTATTCGTTTTTGATCCTGAGATATAGGCCAAAACATATTTTGTCCTTTAAAATCGTATTTTTCGATGATAATTTTTTTGTAAAAATTTCTACAATGAACTACTTAGTTCAATGCATATTCGGAAAGTAGAAGGAATCACCTTTCTAACGATACCTTCTATATAGACGTATCCTTTTTTGATCCTGAGATATAGGCCAAAACATATTTTGTCCTTTTAAAATCGTATTTTTCGATGATATTTTTTTTTTTTGTTAAAATTTCTACAGTAAAATGCTTAGGTCAATGCATATTCCGAAAATAGAAGGAATCACCTTTCTAACGATACCTTCCATTTACGTATCCTTTTTTGATCCTGAGATATAGGCCAAAACATATTTTGTCCTTTTAAAATCGTATTTTTCGATGATAAATTTTTTCCTCAAATTTCTACAATGAAAAGCTTAGGTCAATGCATATTCCGAAAATAGAAGGAATCACCTTTCTAACGATACCTTCCATATACACGTATCCTTATTTGATCCTGAGATATAGGGCAAAACATATTTTGTTCTTCAAAATCATATTTTTCGATGATAATTTTTTTTGTTAAAATTTCTACAGTGAAATGCTTAGGTCAATGCATATTCCGAAAATAGAAGGAATCACCTTTCTAACGATACCTTTTATATACGCGTATCCCTTTTTGATCCTGAGATATAGGCCAAAACATATTTTGTACTTTTAAAATAATATTTTTCGATGATAAATTTTTTCCTCAAAATTTCTACAATGAAAAGCTTAGGTCAATGTATATTCGGAAGATAGAAGGAATCACCTTTCTAACGATACCCTCCACATACGCGTATCCTTTTTTGATCCTGAGATATAGGCCAAAACATATTTTGTCCTTTAAAATCGAATTTTTCGATGACAAATTTTTTCCTCAAAATTTCTACAATGATATAATACCCTGTGTATGGGCTATACGAAGACGTGGACCTGCATAGACAATCTTCTGGCATGGGTTGTGGTACTCGTTACGACTTTAAATACGAAATTTGAAACAATTCCGGTCAAAAATGTCGCTTACATCATCAAAATACCGATTATACGGAGGTACAGTTATATGGGGGCTATGCGTTATCGTGGACCTATATAGGCAATTCTCTTCCAGGGGCTAAAGTACTCAGAAGGAACTCCTTGTGTGTAATTTCAGACAGTTCCATAAAAAAATGCAGCTACAATCATGAAAATACTGAATATCTGTAGGTACCGTTAAATGGGGGCCATATATTATGGATCAGCATAAAATTCTAAGACGATCTAGCGATGTCCGTCCGTCCGTCTGTTGTAATCGCGCTATTTTCGGAACGAATTGAGATAGAAGGCTAAAATTTTGCATGCATGCATAGTTTACCAGTAGACATGCTAGGTTAGGTTAGGTTGAAAAAGAGGGGCAAAAACAATTTCGCCTCAAGCCCTTTTGGGCATGCACTTAAGCCAGTATAGGCCTGTTGTGCGCTCTAGTCAGAGGGGTTTTACCGAGGAAGACGTGCAGTTATCAGTCTGTTATAATTGAAATTATGTTGCCTTTATGAAATTCTTTAACTGTTTTATATCATTTACCATGATCCGACTAAGGCCTGGTATAGTGTCGCTCCCTAAGAATTGGGCTCTGATATTAGCAAACGCTGGGCATATACAGAGAAAATGTTCCAAAGTTTCGTCGTCTTCCCTGCACGCCCTGCATATGCTGTTATCTGTGCAACCTATCTTGTATAGATGAGCTTGTAGGCCCAAGTGCCCCGTAAGGATGCCTGTCACCTCACTGATCTCCTTCTTGCCTAGCAATAAAAGATTCTTAGTTTTTATCTCATCTGGGTCACCCCACAGGATTTTGGTGGTTTTCCCTACGCCCTCTTCGTTCCATAAGGATATATGGGCGTTTTTTGCCCATGTCTTTAACATTAGACGTGACGCTTTTAGCGGCAGTGGATTGTCTAAGTTTACTGCTGCTAATTCCCTGCCTGTTCTGGCGAGAGAGTTTGCTATCTCGTTACCTCTAACTCCGTTATGGCCTGGTACCCATATAATGCGAACTAAGCCGTGTTGAGAGTAGTTGTTGATTGAGTTTGTACATTCCAATACAGTTCTTGAAGTTACTGTTTTGGATGTTATAGCGTTAATGGCTATCTTACTGTCCGTTAGGACGTTTACGATAGCCGGTCTCGTGTTAGCATTTAACCAGTTCAGACACTCTGTATTGGCCCGGACCTCCGCTTGTAGGATCGTTTGTGATCGGTCATGCGGAAAGAGATTTTGGTATTAGTTTCTTCGATAAAAAGACCCAGTGCTACTCTCTCCCCCAACACTGAACCATCTGTGTAACAACAGTTACCAGTCGGCATCTGTGATGGGAATCCATCGATCCACGAGTCTCAGTTTGGGATTAATGTTTCACAAGAGGCAGCTACAATAGATTCAGATATGCGGTCCAATACAAAGTTTTCTATTGATTCTCCCGTTGTTACCTGTAAGATTCTTTGATGGTATGTAGCGTGGCCTTTGATTAACCACTCGCCCGTCGCCCTAAGCCTTAAGGCCGCGACAGTTGCTTCATACTGTATCTGAATGTCTATCGGGTGAAGAAATAGTAATGTCTCTAGTGCCCTAGTTGGTGTTGTCCTCATTGCCCCGCAGATTCTTAAGCAGCACATTCGTTGGACTTTCTGTAGTATTTTAATATTACACTTTTTATCCATGGCTGTCCACCAGACAATTGACGCGTAAGTTAGAACAGGTCTAATCACGCTTTTGTATAGCCAGTGTATCATGTTAGGATTGAAACCCCATTTAGAGTCTACAGCTCTTTGACACGTTGCCCAACATCTATGAGCTTTGTTAGCTCTTTCCTGGATGTGGTCCCTCCAATTGTAGACAGGCTAAGTTCGCAAATGGGTCATGTCGGTCCACGTTTTCGTATAGCCCCCATAGAACGGTACCTCCAGATATTCGGTATTTTCATAATTTTAGCGACATTATTTACCGGAATTATTTCGAATTTCGCATTTGAAGTTCGTAATGGGCACTACAGCCTATGACAAAAAATTTTGTATGCTGGTCTACGTCTTTGTATAGTCCCCATATAACGGTTTTCATTTAGGTGGTAGTTTTCGGATTTTTTTTTTTGAATTTTTTTCAATTTCCTCCGAAATAGTGGTGGAGGTTATTAAAAGTTCGACCCGGCCTTAGTTGCTTTTTTAATTGTTTTCCATCTCTTCGCTCCTCTACCCCTTCAGGTGCTTCACAGCGGGGCTATGTTGAACAAGAGAACCCCATATACATGAAATCGTTTTGCTTTGTTCTTTATTATTATTATTTTCTTTTAATTCTACATTTTCTTATTCGAAATTCAATTTCATCTCCATTTCATCAGATATCTCCTCGATTTCATCGACTGCGGCGGCGGTATCGCCTGCATAGTTCTCGATGAGCAAATAGTTTGGTACATACTCCTCAAGCACTTTTAGCATTTCTGTAGAGGCTTTTGTTTTCACCGCCAAATGTCCAAGAGAATCGCCGCTGCCCAATACCTCGTATTCGGTGACATCGATTTGTTTCTGCTTGCAAAATTCCAAAAGAATTCCCAACAACTCCGGCAGATTTTCCAATAGGGCCAAATGCAGTACCGTATAGCCCTGCCGATTGTAGACTTTGGTCATCTTGACCATTGATGAGTCGACCTTATTGTCGTAGGCGGCGTGTTCCTGCAGTAGTTGTTGTATTTGTAGAATGCAATCGCTGCGACGATTAACGATGGCCAAGTGCAATGGAGTGTTGCCACTTTGATCCTGTTCGTGCAGAGCAATGCCCATGCCTACCAGTGGTCTTATAGCTTCCGACTTGTCGTGGAGACAGGCATAGTGCAGCAGATTGTGCCGCAATTTGTTGCGAGTTTTCAGGACCAGATCCTTGTGCGTAGATTTCTTGACACCATTGCGCAGGGCGAGCAATGTAGACGCATTCAATACGGCGTCATGGAAAATGGTGTTGCCAACTGAAATAAAAAAAATTGTATTGCATAAGTTGCCAGCGAACATAAAAAACATTGTTATCGAACTACTACTCTATATGGGAAACTGGTTTTAGGGACTTGTCAACACGCAATTGCTTATAGAAAAATTGTTATGGGAAAGAACATTTCCGTTCTATGTAAAAAACGTTTTTATCGGATAATTTTTTTTTTTAAAGAAAAACTTGATATCGGACAACTTTTCGATAGAAACAGTGTCATCGCACAACATTTCTATAGAAAAAGTTCTTATCGGACAACTTTTCAACAGAGAAAGTTCTTATCGGACAACTATTCAACAGAGAAAGTTCTTATCGGACAACTTTTCAACAGAGAAAGTTCTTATCGGACAACTTTTCAACAGAGAAAGTTCTTATTGGACAACTTTTCAATAGAAAAAGTTGTTATCGGACAACTTTTCTATAGAAAAACTTGTTGTCGGACAACTTTTCTATAGAAAAACTTGTTGTCGGACAACTTTTCTCTAGAAAAAGTTGTTGTCGGACAACTTTTCTCTAGAAAAAGTTGTTGTCGGACAACTTTTCTCTAGAAGAAGTTGTTGTCGGACAACTTTTCTCTCTCTAGAAAAAGTTGTTGTCGGACAACTTTTCTCTCTCTAGAAAAAGTTGTTGTCGGACAACTTTTCTCTCTCTAGAAAAAGTTGTTGTCGGACAACTTTTCTCTCTCTAGAAAAAGTTGTTGTCGGACAACTTTTCTCTCTCTAGAAAAAGTTGTTGTCGGACAACTTTTCTCTAGAAAAAGTTGTTGTCGGACAACTTTTCTCTAGAAAAAGTTGTTGTCGGACAACTTTTCTCTAGAAAAAGTTGTTTTCGGACAACTTTTCTCTAGAAAAAGTTGTTGTCGGACAACTTTTCTCTCTCTAGAAAAAGTTGTTGTCGGACAACTTTTCTCTAGAAAAAGTTGTAGTCGGACAACTTTTCTCTAGAAAAAGTTGTTGTCGGACAACTTTTCTCTAGAAAAAGTTGTTGTCGGACAACTTTTCTCTAGAAAAAGTTGTTGTCGGAAAACTTTTCTCACTCTAGAAAAAGTTGTTGTCGGACAACTTTTCTCTCTCTAGAAAAAGTTGTTGTCGGACAACTTTTCTCTAGAAAAAGTTGTTGTCGGACAACTTTTCTCTCTCTAGAAAAGGTTGTTGTCGGACAACTTTTCTCTCTCTAGAAAAAGTTGTTGTCGGACAACTTTTCTCTAGAACAAGTTGTTATCGGACAACTTTTCTCTAGAAAAAGTTGTTGTCGGACAACTTTTCTATAGAAAAAGTTGCTATCGGACACCTTGTCAAAATATAAACTTGTTATCGGACAACTTTTTGATAGAAACAATTGTTATCGGCCAAATTTACTACAGAAAAAGTTGTTATCGGACTACTTTGCTATAGAAAAAGTTGTTATCGGATAAATTGCTACAGAAAAAGTGGTTATCGGACAACTTTGCTATAGAAAAGGTTGTTATTTGACCATTTCTTTGCGGGAAAAGTTGTTATCGTACAACTTACTTCTTGAGAAGATGTTGTTCTTGGACAAGTTTTCCATAGGAACAAGTTGTTACCAAACAACTTTTCTTTAGAAGATAGAAAAAAGTTGTTATCGAACAACTTTTCAAAAGAAAAAGTTATCGGACAACTTGTCAATATAAAAACTTGTTATCTTTGGAACATGTTTTTATCGGACAATTTATATTACAACTTTTCTATAGACAAAATGTCGGACAACTTTTCCAGAGAAAAATTGCTATCGGATAACTTTTCTTGAGAAACAGTTGCTTTCGGGCAACGTAGTTGTCGGTAAAATGGTCATGAGAAAACTTTTCCACACGGTCCCTTTTGTACTGAATTATTTTTCAGGGAAAAATGCTGTCATCGAACAACTCCTCTGTTATCGGACAATCAGGTTCTAAATATACGATACCAAAAAAGTATTACTTACATTTATTCGATAGAATACTAGGCGGGATGGTAATATCTTGGGCTGGATCTTTCAAACATTTTTCAATCCGTTTCTTTATGTCATTTATTTCTCTTCTTTTCCTCTCTTGCTTCTGGTGTTGGGCATTGTTATCTTCCTTTATTGGTTTGGGCGTTACTGTTCTATCTTGCGAGATATATTCATTTTTCCCTTGTTCACTCGGGGGGTCCTCTAATGACAAGTCAGGCCCCATTAGGTTTTGCCACCATTGTTCCAATTCCAAATTGGTAATGCTAACCGTTGAATTCTCAGAAGATTGCGAGAAGGTAGTGGTTGAAACATTTTGATCGGTTGCCGGTCCGTCAACTTCCATTTTGCTCTGCCTACTTAGGATTTCGGTCGTTGTTGCTTCATTATTTGGTGCGATTGCATGAGGAATATAAGAAATTAAAAAACTCGGGAGGTCCTCTAATGACAAACCAGCCTCCATTGGGCTTTCCTCCCATTGGATCGATTGTTCCAAATCGCCTACTTGCCTAATTGGGTTTTCGTTCGTTGCTGCCCCATTATTTGATGCGTTTGCATTTGGTTGCTCCAAATGGGAAAGGCTATCCGAAGATTTACTTGGTGTCGGCACTATCGTTGAACAGCGTCGTGGTCTTTTTCGGGCGGCTGCCAGCTTTGCCGTTCCATTGGAATCAGAATTGTCGCTTTTCGAATATGCAAATTTGACCGGCCTACTCTTGAAAGTACTGCGATCTACAACGACTTCCATCGACACTTCGATCGAATCTTCAGGAAAATCGGGTCCTGTGTAGGGCGGTAACTCGAATTTGATACTGCTATTCAGGAATGTATCCATTGGTTTGACATAACTCTCCCAGACCGTCTTGCCAGCCACATCGAGAAACACACGAACCGTATAACAGTATCCCGATTGCAACTTGATTCGCATGAAAACAACCTGGCCACCACTTGTACTGCCGCCGAAGTTACATATATCGTGTATTTTCAGGTCATCACCGTGGTATATTGGGTCGGAGTAGATGGTTTCTTTGTAGAGGCAGTAGGTTTCGTCATCGATGCGTTCGAATATAGTAAATCCCAGACAGACCTGCATTGGAGAAAGAAGATCATGTAACTTGTAATTTGTTATCGAAAAATTTGTTAAAAAAAAAATTGCCATTTTTTGTAAATATGCTTGGCGAACAACTACACTTATCGAGCTAACTTCCTGAGGTAAAAATTCTTATCGAACAAAATGTCCTCTGGAACAGACTAAATTAAATGCAGGTGCTTTTTGTACCCAAAGACATATGGCTATAGAGGATATATATAATTTGATACGACCGAAACGTCCCTTATCGAAATAACGGTTTTAGACCCTAGGTCTCTTTGGACCAAATTCGTTTCAGGGCATTTAGAGTCTGGCTGGCTGGTGCGCACTCCCGAAGGGAGTATCCGATTTGGTCCAAACTTGGTACATCGTAATATTATTATCAAACTTAGATCCAGTTCGGAGATGGGCAATATCGGTCCACTCCTTCTAGTACCTCTCCCGCAAATTTCGAAATTTTCAAAGAAAAAAATATTTTACTGCACAGAAAAAGGAAGGATAATCCAATTTTGCTCCAATTTTGCAAATCCTTGTATTTACATCAGCGCTAGTCAGGTGCGAAAATGAACAAAATCGGTCCATTCCAGAAAGTACCTCCCACACAAAGGGTCAACATTTTAAACAATTGATGTAAGAGTCCCATTGTCTTCAAATTGCACACAACACAATATTTTTATTAACCCAAGGTCTGTGGGTAAGATGGAAAATATCGGACCACTCTATCTGGTACCTCCCCCACAAAGGACCAACTGTTTTGAATATCCCTGAAGCCATAAAGCGCGAAATAAATATTCGATTCAATTGTCCATAAACTCAATCTCAATATTTCCGCAAACACAAGATTTTTTATAAAGATGTTAGAGATCGGACCATTCCTTCTGGTACCTCCCCCACAGAGAGTCAAAATTGTGAATAACTAAAACGATTATAAAATCCGAAATGAGCATCCCGTTCTCTTCATATTTCATATATCTCATTATCTCTTCTAACACAAGAACTGTGAATATGGTATATATCTGCGAACCCCTTCTGAAACCTCAGCCACAAAGGGTCACAATTTTCAACACTTTTATCTGTCATAATTTGCTAAACAACTTGTTCTATCTGAAAATTTTTCTCAACCAGAAATCTGAGATGAGTATGGAATTTATGATTTCGCATAAAATTGGATATAAATGTTCGATTGTCTTGTAAATTTGTATTTTTATCTGTTTTAGATGAAGTATAAAAATGGAATACTTCGTTTGACTAAATCTGGTACCTCACACGCATTTTAATATTTTCTAAAAATTATAAGATATCTCATATACAGGGTGAAATAAAAAAACTGCAACAAAGTCGCAGTAAATTTTTTTAATTTAATTGAATAAAAGAAAAAAAGGTCGGAAATTGCATCAGATTTTAGAATAAGTTTAGATATGTTCGAATTGGTCAGCTTTGGCAAGAATTATGGCCTTCAAACGGTCAATGAAATCGTGAAACGCTGCCCGAATCTTGCTCTGCGAAGTTCTTGCTTGAGTTGATCGACACTTTGGTATTTTTTAGTGCCAGCCTTGCTTTCTAAAATACTCCAGACATTGTTTCGGGTCGAGTCGAATGGATTTGTATCCGGAGATTTTGGTGGCCATTGTACGCTGGAAATGAAGCGAGGAACCTCATTTTGTAACCATTTTGGGTGGCGCGTGCTAAGTGCGATGGTGCTGGGTCCTGTTGGAATGTACAAGGTTCAGCTCACGAGCCATTTTTCAGCCACCGAAAATATTATTTAAAAAAATAATATTTAAAAAAATAATATTTAAAAAAATAATATTTAAAAAAATAATAATTAAAAAAATAATATTTTTATTTAGTGGTCTGGAAGTGCTTGAAAAATAATATTTAAAAAATCCACGCTTAGTGGTCTGGAAGTGCTTGAAAAATAATATTTAAAAAATCCACGCTTAGTGGTCTGGAAGTGCTTGAAAAATAATATTTAAAAAATCCACGCTTAGTGGTCTGGAAGTGCTTGAAAAATAATATTTAAAAAATCCACGCTTAGTGGTCTGGAAGTGCTTGAAAAATAATATTTAAAAAATCCACGCTTAGTGGTCTGGAAGTGCTTGAAAAATAATATTTAAAAAATCCACGCTTAGTGGTCTGGAAGTGCTTGAAATATAATATTTAAAAAATCCACGCTTAGTGGTCTGGAAGTGCTTGAAAAATAATATTTAAAAAATCCACGCTTAGTGGTCTGGAAGTGCTTGAAAAATAATATTTAAAAAATCCACGCTTAGTGGTCTGGAAGTGCTTGAAAAATAATATTTAAAAAATCCACGCTTAGTGGTCTGGAAGTGCTTGAAAAATAATATTTAAAAAATCCACGCTTAGTGGTCTGGAAGTGCTTGAAAAATAATATTTAAAAAAATCCACGCTTAGTGGTCTGGAAGTGCTTGAAAAATAATATTTAAAAAATCCACGCTTAGTGGTCTGGAAGTGCTTGAAAAATAATATTTAAAAAATCCACGCTTAGTGGTCTGGAAGTGCTTGAAAAATAATATTTAAAAAATCCACGCTTAGTGGTCTGGAAGTGCTTGAAAAATAATATTTAAAAAATCCACGCTTAGTGGTCTGGAAGTGCTTGAAAAATAATATTTAAAAAATCCACGCTTAGTGGTCTGGAAGTGCTTGAAAAATAATATTTAAAAAATCCACGCTTAGTGGTCTGGAAGTGCTTGAAAAATAATATTAAAAAATCCACGCTTAGTGGTCTGGAAGTGCTTGAAAATAATATTTAAAAAATCCACGCTTAGTGGTCTGGAAGTGCTTGAAAAATAATATTTAAAAAATCCACGCTTAGTGGTCTGGAAGTGCTTGAAAATAATATTTAAAAAATCCACGCTTAGTGGTCTGGAAGTGCTTGAAAAATAATATTTAAAAAATCCACGCTTAGTGGTCTGGAAGTGCTTGAAAAATAATATTTAAAAAATCCACGCTTAGTGGTCTGGAAGTGCTTGAAAAATAATATTTAAAAAATCCACGCTTAGTGGTCTGGAAGTGCTTGAAAAATATATTTAAAAAATCCACGCTTAGTGGTCTGGAAGTCTTGAAAATAATATTTAAAAAATCCACGCTTAGTGGTCTGGAAGTGCTTGAAAAATAATATTTAAAAAATCCACGCTTAGTGGTCTGGAAGTGCTTGAAAAATAATATTTAAAAAATCCACGCTTAGTGGTCTGGAAGTGCTTGAAAAATAATATTTAAAAAATCCACGCTTAGTGGTCTGGAAGTGCTTGAAAAATAATATTTAAAAAATCCACGCTTAGTGGTCTGGAAGTGCTTGAAAAATAATATTTAAAAAATCCACGCTTAGTGGTCTGGAAGTGCTTGAAAAATAATATTTAAAAAATCCACGCTTAGTGGTCTGGAAGTGCTTGAAAAATAATATTTAAAAAATCCACGCTTAGTGGTCTGGAAGTGCTTGAAAAATAATATTTAAAAAATCCACGCTTAGTGGTCTGGAAGTGCTTGAAAAATAATATTTAAAAAATCCACGCTTAGTGGTCTGGAAGTGCTTGAAAAATAATATTTAAAAAATCCACGCTTAGTGGTCTGGAAGTGCTTGAAAAAATAATATTTAAAAAATCCACGCTTAGTGGTCTGGAAGTGCTTGAAAAATAATATTTAAAAAATCCACGCTTAGTGGTCTGGAAGTGCTTGAAAAATAATATTTAAAAAATCCACGCTTAGTGGTCTGGAAGTGCTTGAAAAATAATATTTAAAAAATCCACGCTTAGTGGTCTGGAAGTGCTTGAAAAATAATATTTAAAAAATCCACGCTTAGTGGTCTGGAAGTGCTTGAAAAATAATATTTAAAAAATCCACGCTTAGTGGTCTGGAAGTGCTTGAAAAATATATTTAAAAAATCCACGCTTAGTGGTCTGGAAGTGCTTGAAAAATAATATTTAAAAAATCCACGCTTAGTGGTCTGGAAGTGCTTGAAAAATATATTTAAAAAATCCACGCTTAGTGGTCTGGAAGTGCTTGAAAAATAATATTTAAAAATCCACGCTTAGTGGTCTGGAAGTGCTTGAAAAATAATATTTAAAAAATCCACGCTTAGTGGTCTGGAAGTGCTTGAAAAATAATATTTAAAAAATCCACGCTTAGTGGTCTGGAAGTGCTTGAAAAATAATATTTAAAAAATCCACGCTTAGTGGTCTGGAAGTGCTTGAAAAATAATATTTAAAAAATCCACGCTTAGTGGTCTGGAAGTGCTTGAAAAATAATATTTAAAAAATCCACGCTTAGTGGTCTGGAAGTGCTTGAAAAATAATATTTAAAAAATCCACGCTTAGTGGTCTGGAAGTGCTTGAAAAATAATATTTAAAAAATCCACGCTTAGTGGTCTGGAAGTGCTTGAAAAATAATATTTAAAAAATCCACGCTTAGTGGTCTGGAAGTGCTTGAAAAATAATATTTAAAAAATCCACGCTTAGTGGTCTGGAAGTGCTTGAAAAATAATATTTAAAAAATCCACGCTTAGTGGTCTGGAAGTGCTTGAAAAATAATATTTAAAAAATCCACGCTTAGTGGTCTGGAAGTGCTTGAAAAATAATATTTAAAAAATCCACGCTTAGTGGTCTGGAAGTGCTTGAAAAATAATATTTAAAAAATCCACGCTTAGTGGTCTGGAAGTGCTTGAAAAATAATATTTAAAAAATCCACGCTTAGTGGTCTGGAAGTGCTTGAAAAATAATATTTAAAAAATCCACGCTTAGTGGTCTGGAAGTGCTTGAAAAATAATATTTAAAAAATCCACGCTTAGTGGTCTGGAAGTGCTTGAAAAATAATATTTAAAAATCCACGCTTAGTGGTCTGGAAGTGCTTGAAAAATAATATTTAAAAAATCCACGCTTAGTGGTCTGGAGTGCTTGAAAATAATATTTAAAAAATCCACGCTTAGTGGTCTGGAAGTGCTTGAAAAATAATATTTAAAAAATCCACGCTTAGTGGTCTGG